ATGTATAATTCCATACAAGCTAAACTTTTTGTTAGTGCACAAAGGTAGCACTAAACGTTGCAGTGTACAATGCAGTGTACAGTGGTATACTAAAGCTGCAAACGCTATCCACCGAATATGATAGTGATTACTAGCTCTAAAATTACCCGATGTTTGGGCACCTAAATTGGAGGTTAACCTAATTCTCTTAAGAGAATAACTATTACCTCAAGTCGGTAATTTCATTTCGTTAAAAGTAAAATAAAGCGTCATTCAAATAAAGCGTTTGCTTTCAATTGGGTTTATCATATTAATCATAATATTAAGACAATCAGATTCTTACAAAGGCTTGATATCAACAGAGGAGATATTTTTGGGGGATATTTAAAATCTACAGAGAGATCCAAACAATAACATAACGAAAGTTTAATAACATGATATATATAAAAAAGCAACCTGCCATATATTTCTCGTATAGCGGCAAAGGCCAACAAGCATACCATGATTTCTTGTTCTTCTGAGATATTAAAATGAAAAAACTTTAAAAAAACTTGATCTCTTGGGGGTGTTAAAATACATTCTTAAGTAAATTCTCAATCTCAATTAAGTTTAACTGGTTTGATACGAAAAACCCTGGTAGCTTAAAACTAGCTTTGCGGTCGAGTAATGATCCTACATATGTTGGTAAGCATGTCTAGTCCTTGTAAACAGACATTAAACAATATTAACAGATTCATTCATATAAAAAAGTTATATTCAATGTCAGACTCGTTTTCTGACATTTCTTTTTAATCGGGATTGTTCATTTATACTAAGATTTTTTGTTCAGTTTTGGAAAAAAGTGCGAAACTTTTAAAACCCAGTGATGTGAGTAATGTGTTTTATATCATCTACAATCACGTGCAAAAATTATGAGAGTTTTCAGATTTTCCATCAAATTTGAAGTGCATCGTGGCACCCCTGCCCCCATAGTCCATGCTCAAAAAAAAGCCAATTTTTCCCTACCGTACATCCTCGCAACATTGATTTTGGGGAGAGGAGGTCATTTATGTGGTTGTTTCATTAATTTTTGCATCTGATTGTAAGTGCCCGTAGAAGCAGAAAGAGGGGTTGTCTACGATCAAAACTCGACAGGAATAGAATTATGAATGGATTCAACCTCCTAATTATAAAGAAGATTTTGCTAAACCCCAATAAATTTCTGTACAGCCTTGTGTTCTCGTTTTTGCTTCTCGTGCAAACTTAAAGCGTAGGGGATGCCACCCGAGGATGTGTGAAGTGTGTGGCAAAGTTGTTCTAATCACTTTGTTCTTGGTCAGAAAAATATACCATTATAAATTTAAGTGAATTCACCAAATATGCAGCACGTACCGAATTTTCTCGCACATTAAAGTTTTGTCTTACTCAGAAATAGACTTTCCAAAAGATCTCAGAGGCTTAAAATTTGAATATTTTTTTCTCAGCACCAAATAATTATGTCGTGTCTCGTGAGCATGCCTTTTAGGCTTTTACACCTACAAACGTCCTACACCTATGTCATTTAGATAACATTATTACTTAAGTCTAATAACTTTTAGTATAAATTTCGAGCTGACCATTGATTTTTATGAGAATTATGTTGATTATTATTCGGCTCAGTGAATATAGGCTCGTAATCTCCTCGCCTTCAGCGACTAATTGTTAAATAATGACCTGGCCATACTAACTTGTTTACTACAGGGTGAGTCAAAAAAACTGACACCATTGAAATTCAAATTAGCTGCAATGTGTTTGTAATAGGCTGTAATGAGGTTGCCTAAAATATCTTATGGGTATACGAAGCATATCAAATAAGTGAACCCATTAATTAAATAGAACGTAAAGTTTGTTCCCTTTAGGAGTTAAAATGCATTCTAAGCTCTGTAATAAAAAAGATTGTGGAATTAGTTCAATTGGTTTAAACACTTTTGCATTAATTAACCACGTCTTGTTGATTGTACAAAATGGGAATTGTCAAATTCCAGCCATACGTTCGCAGCTAATTTGAATTTCAAGGTGTCAGTTTTTTGACTCACCCTGTATAGTATCATTTATGGTATATTATTGCATAACAAACCTTGGATAAGCAGCAAACATTGTTTCATTTCATATTAATGACACTAATTTTGTCATCATCCAGCAACAAGTTATCCTAGCAAATAAAATCAGAACACTTCAGCATCAACATCACTGACCAAAAAAATGGCGCAGATTGACAAATAATCATTTGCAGTAAGCATCTACCTTCATATGAACGAGTTTCGTGATTGGTTTTTGTAACAATTGTGAACAGTGTTTATGATTCGTTCTTTTAGAAATCGATTTCTATAGTTCATTGTGTTTTATTGTCATCATCAACCAATAGCAAAGCTTGTTCATATAGGTATACGTACCGAGCCGAAATAATAATGCCACGTTTCTCTGATCTATTTCCTGTTCCTTGTGAATGTCTAAAATGGAAATTTTTATACCTACTGGTACACAAACAGGCATTGTTCATAGTATAAAAAAGAGGACAATCGCTCTTCCAGCTTTTTCAACTGGATTTACCGACCAGTCCACTTAGAACCACGGCTCAGCTGTAACATTACCATTTTCCTGTGGTAGAGATAATTCATAGGAACTACATAATATATGCTAGACGTGTGGTGGTGGACAAGTTTACGAGGTAAAGTGGTGGATATTACCATTTTCCTGTGGTAAAGATAATTTATATGAAGTACATAATCATTTATATGCTAGACGTGTGGTGGTGGACAGGTTTGTATACACTGTACCACGCTTTCTCAGACAAACCTATTGCAAATTCTGCAAGTCTTGAGAGTCTGGAAGTCTAATCTTAAAAATTCTATGATCGGAACAAACTGCATAAAGCAATTCTCACCCAAGAAAAGATTGTTTGTTTTCCCATTCGCTTCTGGCATAAGCAGCCTGTCAAAAAAGAAATGAGAGTGCACCAAATAGTGCCGTGCGGCGGGGCTATATCCATACTTTCGCCGGCCTGTAATGCAAAACATTAATTCTCAACTTCTTTTCAGAAGCGTGTAGCAGCCAATAAAATATTGCATCAACAATACTTTATATCAATAATAACTAATCCCCGTTTTCATTACACTCAATGGAGACCTTAATCCAGCCGCACACGAGAGCTATCTCTGTTAAGCTAAAAGCCACTCGTGAACATTAACGTAAGCAAGTTCTCCCAGTGCGCGGCGACGTTTTGCGAGATTTTGTTAACGAATGCTATTTGCACCATATATTCAACATGTTGAATAATTTAGTGCACGAGTGCATTATTACCCCACTACGTGTGCGGGTAAAGAGAGCAAATTTCTGCCATACATATACAAGCTAATAGCCTAATATGCATATACAAATTTGCATTTCCATTTCCACCACATATTCAAAAGTCAATGTACATTGTACATATTAATTACTATCACTTAGCGCCTTATACAATACTGTACAGGCTGTATGAAAAAGTACCCCCTTTTCAAATGAAGCTTCTGATGAAATTTGAATGCATGATTAACACTGGTAAATAGCATAGTAAAGGCCGGCGCACACTAGAGCTATGTGCTTAGCAAAAAGTCATTCGTGGCCATTGGCGTATGCCAGTTGCTCTCGTGTGCGGGCGACTTTTCAGGCGACTTTTGGCACGAATGACGAAAGTCACTGGATAAGTCTCCCGCACAGGAGAGCAACTGGCTTACGCTAATGGCCACGAATGACTTTTTGCTAAGCACATAGCTCTAGTGTGCGCCGGCCTTAATTAGGTTACATCTTAGGTATCGCTTTACGTACATTTTAAGCAACTGTGAGTTTGGCATAATAATAAGGCCGCATTCAAATTGTAACAAAAATTTGATTTTAATAGGGGGCACTTTTTTGATACACTCTGTATATCCAAAGCCTGTAAATATAGCTCAGCATATCGCCTCTGGACAAAATCACAACCAGTAGCCTAGGCTTGCAACCACACGCTAATGTTTTCGAGCGTTTTCGCATTCGTTTTCATGCCAAAACGATTTCAAACACCGTCAATTTACAATACAAGTTGAAGCTAATTTAACATATTTAGCATATTATTTTTTCCTTGGATCGCGTGGAAAGGGCGTCAAAACAATAAAATAGACAAAAACGATTTTGAAAACGGTCGAAAACGGCGCTCGTGTGCACATAGTCCTAATATTAGTCCTAACTTAGTAGCAATAAGTCCTAATATTAGGACACGGCTAAAACGGAGTCAGGGCCAATAATTCAGCCCCGTCTCGCCGTCCATGGGAGTGCAGTATACGTGCATGAACCTCAAAAATTACAAAAATAAATCTTCTCAAAAAAAAAGAAATTAAATCGGCGCTGAAATGCCCAGTTTGCAAGTTGGATGAAACGCTTACCAAATACGTCTATAAAGTGGTATGAAACTTCGCAATTTTAAATTTATTAGAATTTAAAGTTAACTATTTGCTTCCAATACCACATCCTTATTTCATTTTATACTTAGCACCAAAGCTTGGGAGTTAAGTTTGCCTTAACCTTTAACCGTTTTAACACCATTAATGTGTTAATATCGATTACTTTGTCTGGTGTAAATTAAAATCTATAACGATAATTTTACACCTGTTCGGAGTAAAATTAATGGCAAAGATTTTACATGGTTTAAGTTTAAGTACATCGGATCATGGAGTACAACAACTCGTGTAGCTCGCATAATAGCTATTACACCAGCTTTAGGTAAATTTACCAAAAGTGTAAACCTTCACGGTTTACCCTGAATCGGTGTATGGTGAAGGCGGACATTTACACCATTTTTAGTGTTGGCTGAACATTCAGACATTTGGAGTGATGCACAACGTTCCACGAAAATTAAATTACTCACCGTATCTTGCTGTGATAGAAAATTAGTTAATTAGAAAATCAGGTATTGAGAAAAATAACTATCCATAACTTGCATCCATACACAAAAAGATATACATATTTCGGGGAATACGTACCGTTATAATTTAAAACGTACCGTCAAAACTGGAACTGGATTCTGATGGTGCTGGAGTAGTTTGAAAGACCTTTTTGTCTTCTGCTACTGATGAAATTGTAAATGGTGCGGTGGGATCAGCCTTCGCTTTTTGGATTGGCTCAATAACTTCTTGAACGGTAGTGTTAGCTTCAGCTGAGTTGAATATTACATCAAAATCCACAACGATGCTTCCTGGTGAGAACGAAATAATCCTAATGCCAAGAAATCCTGGGAATGGTTGATATAATGTTATCAGGAAACCCTTAATATTTGAACTTAATTCTTTATATTCTTGACTGCTGCTATTACTTAGTTCATTTCTATAATCGCCGAGAATAATCATCACAATCCCGAATGTAGTTATTTTCACTGTAGGGAGGGTTGTTGGAGAATCGGTGGGAGACGTTGTGGCAACTGAAACAGAGCTTGTCACGGCTTTGACACTGGAACTGAATGTGAATGTACTTGAAGTAATTTCAATAACACTGGAGCTGGATTCTGATGGTGATGGAGTGGGTTGAACAACAATAGAGCTGGATTCTGATGATGATGGAGTGGGTTGAACAACAATAGAGCTGGATTCTGATGACGATGGAGTTGGTTGAACAACACTGGAGCTGGATTCTGATGATGATGGAGTGGGTTGAACAACAATGGAGCTGGATTCTGATGATGATGGAGTAGTTTGAACAACAATGGAGCTGGATTCTGATGATGATGGAGTGGGTTGAACAACACTGGAGCTGGATTCTGATGGTGATAGAGTAGTAGGTTGAACAAAACTGGAGCTGGATTCGGATGATGATGGAGTGGGTTGAACAACACTAGAGCTGGATTCGGATGGTGATGGAGTAGGTTGAACAATACTGGACCTGAATTCTGATGGTGATGGAGTAGGTTGAACAATACTGGAGCTGGATTCTGATGATGATGGAGTAGGTTGAACAACAATGGAGCTGGATTCTGATGATGATGGAGTGGGTTGAACAAAACTGGAACTGGATTCTGATGGTGATGGAGTGGGTTGAACAATACTGGAGCTGGATTCTGATGGTGATGGAGTGGGTTGAACAATACTGGAGCTGGATTCTGATGGTGATGGAGTGGGTTGAACAACAATGGAGCTGGATTCTGATGATGATGGAGTGGGTTGAACAAAACTAGACCTGAATTCTGATGGTGATGGAGTAGGTTGAACAATACTGGAGCTGGATTCTGATGGTGATGGAGTAGGTTGAACAACAATGGAGCTGGATTCTGATGATGATGGAGTGGGTTGAACAAAACTGGAACTGGATTCTGATGGTGACGGAGTGGGTTGAAAAACACTGGAGCTAGATTGTGATGGTAATGGAGTGGGTTGAAAAATGCTGGAGCTGGATTTTGATGGTGATGGAGTAGGTTGAACAATACTGGAGCTGGATTCTGATGGTGATAGAGTAGTAGGTTGAACAAAACTGGAGCTGGATTCTGATGGTGACGGAGTAGCTTGAGAAACACTGGAGCTGGATTCTGATGGTGATGCAGTAGGTTTAACTACACTGGAACTGGATTCTGGTTGAGCACCCATGGTGTACATTGACATTGATTGACTAGGTTTAACACCCAAGGTGTACATTGACATTGATTGACTGGGTTGAGCACCGACGGTGTACATTGACATTGATTGACTAGGTTGAACACCCAAGGTGTACATTGACATTGATTGACTGGGTTGAGTACCCATGGTGTACATCGATATTGATTGAATAGGTTGAAAACCCATGGTGTACATCGACATTGATTGACTGGATTGAGTACCCATGGTGTACATCGACATTGATTGACTCGGTTGACCACCCATGGTGTACTTTGACATTGATTGACTAGGTTGAGCACCCATGGTGTACATCGACATTGATTGACTGGGTTGAGCGCCCATGGTGTACATCGACATTGATTGACTGGGTTGAGCACCCATGGTGTACATTGACATTGATTGACTTGGTTGAGCACCGACGGTGTACATTGACATTGACTGACTAGGTTGAACACCCAAGGTGTACATTGACATTGATTGACTGGGTTGAGTACCCATGGTGTACATTGACATTGATTGACTGGGTTTAACACCAATGGTGTACATTGACATTGATTGACTGGGTTGAGCACCCATGGTGTACATCGACATTGATTGACTGCGTTGAGTACCCATGGTGTACATCGATATTGATTGAATAGGTTGAAAACCCATGGTGTACATCGACATTGATTGACTGCGTTGAGTACCCATGGTGTACATCGATATTGATTGAATAGGTTGAAAACCCATGGTGTACATCGACATTGATTGACTGGGGTGAGTACCCATGGTGTACATCGACATTGATTGACTCGGTTGACCACCCATGGTGTACTTTGACATTGATTGACTACGTTGAGCACCCATGGTGTACATCGACATTGATTGACTGGGTTGAGCACCCATGGTGTACATTGACATTGATTGACTGGGTTGAGCACCCATGGTGTACATTGACATTGATTGACTGGGTTGAACACCCATAGTGTACATTGACATTGTTTGACTGGGTTGACCACCCATGGTGTACATTGACATTGATTGACTGGGTTGAGCACCCATGGTGTACATTGACATTGATTGACTGGGTTGAACACCCATGGTGTACATTGACATTGATTGACTGGGTTGAACACCCATGGTGTACATTGACATTGATTGACTGGGTTGAGCACCCATGGTGTACATCGGCATTGATTGACTGGGTTGAGTACCCATGGTGTACAATGACATTGATTGACTGGGTTGAACGCCCATGGTGTGCATTGACATTGATTGACTGGGTTGAACGCCCATGGTGTACATTGACATTGATTGACTGGGTTGAGTACCCATGGTGTACATTGACATTGATTGACTGGGTTTATTGGTTATCGACCAAGATAAAGATGGTGTTTCTCCAAACTGAGCGCTATGAACTGACATTGATGGAGACACCGTTACAGTTGAACAACCTAGAATAGATACGAACAATAAAATTATTGTTGTCGCCTTTGCCCATATCATATGTCTGTCTGGTGCGTTTATAACAGAGCAATGGTATACAAATGAATATGCATTATTATTTTGTGTTGATATATTATAATTGATATTTTGATATATTAACATTTTCTTATTTTTTAATTTTTTTAACGACTTTATCAAAATTAATGTGACTGGTGATCCATGCGGAGCATTGCCTCATTGATGAACAGAGTAACGCATTGATATACCGCAGGGGTGGATCCAGCACTAGTGCACTAATTTGCATTACAAAAAAAAAGGCTATTTTGAGCAGCTTTCTTGTTTTATGCAAATTAGTGCACTAGTGCTGGATCCACCCATGATATACCGGGTGGCCCAAAAAAAGGTTAACCCTGTTTGATTGAGTATAATTTCAAAATTAAAAGAGCTATTACACTAAAATTATGTTTTTTTATATTCTCTAATGTCTAGATTAAATTTTGATATAATTTATAGCATGAGGTTTTTCAAGTAATTTTGACAGAGATATCGCAGTTTCAATTTAAGTATGCATTTTCGAAAAGTGTAAAAATTAGCTGAAAATGGCATATTAAAGTGTGTTGACAGACCCTAGTATTTTATAGCACGTATTCTGTCTGTTTGAATGAAGTTTAACTTCATTGGAAAAGGTTTTTTATTTTTTAGTGTCATGACATGTTGGAAAGCGTTAAAGCAAAAATTAGCTATTTTGGTTTAGCTTTGTTCCAAATATTTCATGTCCAAGGGGGATAAAATTCGTTCGGAAGCCCACAAATTTAACAAACAATTTCGCACGAATTCTGCTTTTTCTTTTCTTAATATGCGTCGTTTTACGATAGCTACAACAGTAAAATGATATCTCGGGAAAATTGTATCAAAATACGCATGGTATATACCAAATTTTAAGTTGGACATTCACGAATGTAAAGAAAGTTATTTCAGTGTAACAGACGTTTTAGTTTTGAAGTTATACTCAATCAAACAGGTTAAACTTTTTTGTGCTACCCGGTATAAGGGTGACCTATTGATATATATGAGTTTGTAGTAGTAATGACGCTTTGTCTTTTATTTAATACAATTTTTTTAATAGGTATAAGGGTATAAGGGTGACCTATTGATATATAGGAGTTTGTAGTAGTAATGACGCTTTGTCTTTTATTTAATACAATTTTTTTAATGATGACTGAAAATTAGTCTAGCAAAGGTCTGAGGAAAAAGTTGTAAAAAGCTATGCAGGCTGACTAAAAATGGGACATCAAGAAAGATAAATGTTGGCTTTGCAGAACAACAGCCAACAAAAACCAGAGGTACGAGGTTGAACAAAAGTGATCCCACCTAGTGGAGACACGTATCGTTCGAGTCAAATTTGGCTGATGAAATCTTCCCAGGAATATCAACTACACAAGTTAAACGAAAAATGGCAGCTTTGTCCTGAGGTTTTGCGTATACCGAAAAAAGATTGGCCAGAAAATACTATAGTTCTGACCTGGAAAGCAAGAATATCGAAAGAAATACGAAAAACAATCTGCACCCCACAAAGAAAACCTTGACAAAAACCAGATGAAATTTTATCATCGCCTAAGGTTTTGCAGAAATATTCGTGACAGCCCTCATTACTCGTCAGTCGCAAAAAGGTCTTTTTGAAACAAAACCCGCGCAAAACCCACTCGCAAGCTCGCTGGGAATGGTTGCTTGTAATTAAAATCAACATAAAAGCATTTTCATTGGATGAAAACCCTCGCAGCGGGTTTGTGGGTTCGCCATTGCGAGGATTGGAAAAGAGCCTTGAGGCTGCTACGTGCGTGTACGTCAAATCATTCCAGTTATGCACATTTCATACGCACATACACGCACGTAAAATTCTAAATCCTTATATATATGTTATCTTTCAAAACACTAAGTAAATAAATCGAAAGAACTTAGTTTTCCGCATATATTTTAGTTATGGGGAAACCACGACACAAAGTGTAATTTCCACTTTATTATATTCATTTTGAAATCATAGAAAAGATTAAACAAATTCAAAACGATTTATTGGCTGAAAGAACCGTAAACGGTGTAAAATTCAAAATAATAAAATTTTGTTCCATTTTCCCCTGTAATTTTATTGGATAGTTACACTGAGATACTAAATGTGATTGGTTATTGTGGTGCAGAGCTTCAATCTTATTGGCTTATAAATTATGTGATCAATGCTCAAAAATAGTGCGATTTGGAAATTAATCACACTATTTTTAACCAATCAGATTGCAAGAAACACCATTGATTTCAGAATGAATATAATAAATATAGAAAATAGGCACTGTAATTTCCGCAGTTCATTGTCCTTCATTGTTATGAATGACATATCACAAAGTTTTTTTCATATCACAAAGGTTGGTGCTTGGCAATCCATTAACATTGCTTATTAACACTGAATCAGTATTCGCACGCTAACGTTAATTAAGTTGTGCATGTTAACTATGTAATAGGACGCCTAACGAGCATTTCAAAAAGTTATATCCAACAAAATTAAGAACCATATTTTACAAATAAAATCAAATAAAAATAAAGCGGACATAACGAGCTGATTGACGTTTAACTGCATGATATGCACTTTAAAAAGTGGCATTCCAAGAATATTTCCGTTGCGACATGATCCGCCTATTGGAAACCTTATATAAATCTATGTAAACCTTATAAACTGTTTATTCACATTTGACCCGATAGATTGATTATAGAAGACGCTCCGAATCAACTGTCAGGGAGAAATTGAAATACAGAACTAAAAATTAGTAAGAAATTATTGCTAATTATTACCAATGAAACTCACCGCCAATATCAAACAGCAGTCCAACGCTTCCAAACAGGATAACTAGAAGCTGCAGCATTCTCAAAGCAGAGAAAACAAGGCAGTTTTGATATCGGGAACGCGTGTATAAGAATTAAAGTTACTTTTGAGTCAAAATGATTTGCTTCTGCAAAATATTGAGCGACACACTTGTCAGCAGGGTTGCCAGACTTTTAGTAAATAAAGAAGCTAAACATTGTTTCAAAGAAAGCTTCTGGAAATAATATTTGACTAATTTATTCAGTAACCTGGCAACCCTGTTGATCAGACTTCTTCATCTAATTTGCTTCCTGGTTGGGGTCAGTGAAATCTAATAAAATTAATAACTGAACGTTACCTCCTTATAACCTCCTTATAACCTCCTTATAACCTTATAACTTCTTTTTGTGAAGCCAAAATTCGGTGGATTTTACCTCCACGTTACCTTACGCTTGTCTGGAGGTAAAGTCCCGCGAATTTTGGCTTCACGAAAACGATGAGGAGGTATCGTTCCAGTTCACTGGATAAGAGTTCACTTGTTTGATACAGTTTATTTGTATTATATGTGAAAGGCTATTAAACAATCGCTTTAAATTCACAAGCAGTTTTTGAAAGTGTAATTATAGGCGGCCCAAAATTGTGCGATATTTTTTCGCGCGAGAAATTCCTCGGTAATTTGTCAATATTTAACAATTATTCGCCAAAGGCGAGATGAATATCGCTGAATAGAAACCGAGACGAAGTCGAAGTGAACCGAGACGAAGTCGAATTGTTTTAGTATAATTACAAAGGTGAAAATCCAAGTCTCATATTACGGAGAAAGGAACTACGATTAAAATCAAAGTGAGAAAAATCCGACAGCAGCAGTTAGAAAATTTCGAAACTCTACTAGCAAGTTATAACTGGTCTTCGGTTCTTTACACCTCCGACATCAATGAAAAAGTCAATACCTTTCTTCAGGTCACTGAGAATATGATTTTTGAATATTTTCCGGAAAAAACGGTTAAAGTTCATAGTAAGGATAAACCTTTTATGACAGCTAAAATAAAATGGTTGATTCTTAAAAGAAATATGGCTTTTAAAAATAAAAAAGTTGAGCGTGTGAAAAGTCTCAGAAGACAAGTCTCGGCAGAAATTCGGAAAACGAAAATCTATTTCTACGAGAATAAAGTAAGTCCAAACTTTAAAAACCACCCTAAATCTTGGTGGAAACAAATGAAGGGCTTGATCGGCAAGAAAACTGCTAAACCAATAATGTTGGATTCCAATACTGGGTTTCAGATGGATGATAAGCAGTCTGCTCATTATAATAACGATTATTTTGCAAACTTAACTAAGAATTATCCGAAAGTGAACGAAAATTAGTTGGAATTTCAATGTATAGAAAATCTACCTCTAATTACTGTAGACCAGGTACAACGAGAATTGCGTAAAATTAACCTTAATAAAGCACCTGGTCCTTATGATCCCTCTCTGAAGATCTTGAAGATTTTTACAAAATATTTTGCTGTACCTTTGACCGAAATCTTTAATGAATCTTTTCAATCAAAAACTTTTCCTGAGATCTGGAAAAAATATAAGGTATCTGGAATCCCTAAATCTGTACCATGTACGCATGTTGAAGAGTTAAGACCAATTGCTTTAACTAGTGTCCTAGCAAAGGTTCAAGAATCTTTTGCTGTTCAGTGGATATATGAAGATACCGATGAAAAAATTTCTGATTCTCAATATGGGGGTCTACCACGATCATCGACAATTAATGCGCTGGTTAATTTAATACACAAATGGCATAAATCATTGGATGAATTGCACAGAGTGATAAGAATAGTCTTTTTAGATTTACGAAAGGCATTTGACCTTATCGATCATAATAAACTCTTAGAAAACATGCGAGAAATTGGTGTAAGACCTGCTCTGATCAAATGGTATGCATCATACCTGGACGAGAGATCTCATTTTACACAGTTTGGAAACGAAGTATCTGATTTTGCGAATGTTATGGGAG